AACATAAGTTATATACCAATTTTTTTTAAGAAAAATAATTGTTTTTTTTCAAGTAAAAAAATAAATAAAAAATTACGTTTGGTTATGTAACTTGACTAAATATCATATTTCTCATATTCTCTTTTTATTCACCAGAGCATATTAAGTAGTGCATGTAAATTTTTTTCTGCCCTTATTCCATGGTATATTACGGGTATTAGTATGGACAATCTTGGATTCTTATCGTATTTAATAGTACATCTCAATATCACTACTTTATTAGTAACAATCAGAATTGAAAAAAGTAGGTTTTTTTTTCAAGTGATGAGAAACGAACCTTGGAATTCATGGTACTTAGAATAACCAACATAATTGTATGTTTTGGAAAAATCATCTTAAAGGTATTTGGTAGGATTTTCTTGGAAAATTCTATTATAGAGAAAAGCAATATTAATTCTCTTATTTTATGTGCTACATCACTAGAGCTAGAAAGCTTACGAGAAAACTAAACTATATCCTGATGACATAAAATAGTTTAAGCTTTGTTCTTCAACAAATTTTAAGAACGTTTTTTATTACCTTTTTCAAGGAGTTTATAAAAAATTACCCTAGTATAGAACCCCTGAAACAGCTTAATTAAGCACCTACAGAATGTTTTAATTTGTAAAATGAAATAAACAGAATGGTTTATAAGTTAATCAGCACCATGAACTAGCAATCTCAATCCACTTTCGTCTATTTGATGAGAAAAAGATTATATAGTGTCACGGTTAAATAATAGACCAGAATGAAAAACTGGATCAAAGTTTTAATGAATTTATTTACCAATTTTTTTTTACAAATATAATTATTATTCTGGCGAGAAGTAATGAAAAAACACCTTATTTAATTTTTGGATTTTGAAGAACGCGTGAACTGTGAGAGATTAGTAAAACCGATTTCAGAATTACATAAACAATTTTAATGTTAGAAAACAAGATGAAATTGTTGGTTACCTAAAAATAACTGTTACATACCTCAAAGAAAATTGATTTAAGAATATTTATTCAACTAGCCGTGTATGAAAACAATATTACTTTGATATAGCCGTTGGACGGTGTGAAAATTAAGTTGTACAGTAATTTTTTTTTTCCTTTCTTCAAAAGTTCTATTCAATTATAGCAGTGTATCAATATTCAAAAGCATTTTTTTCTTTTATATGTTCGGCTAATTCCCATGCATTTTCCACATGGTGTTCACACTTCTCTAATTCTGTTAACGACGAATTCAAGGTGTATCATGCAGCAGCAACAACAACAACAACAACAAAAAAAAAAAATTGGGCACTACATTATATAGACCAAATTAAGGTATGTTAGCTTAGACCACAAACAATTCAGGCCATGGCTTCTCTTCCCCCTCCAACTATAGCCTACTCCTCCTCCACCATCACAACCTCCCCCTTGTCATCTTACAAAAGATGGTAACCCACGTCCTCTAAAGTTACCTAACTAAAAAAAAAAAAAGAAGAAGAAGAAGATAGTGATATCATATATATATATATATATATACACACACTAAATCTAAATTTGAAAACTTTCACTTAACTTTGTAAGCATTTCCTTTCATTTTTTTTTCAAGAAGGATAACCAAAACTTGTGGGTGAGTGATCGATGCATGGTTTGTTAGGGTTAGTCGCAACATATGCTTATTGTGAGGGAGGTGATTTTTATTTCTTTTCTTTTATCCCAACCATAATTTACTATTTTTCTAAATTGCCTTTCTTTTCTTTTCATTTATCTCCAATTAACTGGACCTTAGAAATAAATGTGAGCTTGAAAAAAAAAATAATAAAAAAAATAAAAAATTGAATTCGGGTCATAATGAGACAGTGGGTTAACATATCCATGAAAAATTAATTTTAGTTATTGAATTAGACACTTGCTGCTCTATGTAGGAACGGAGACAGTTAAGGACCAGAGGGGGCACGTGCCCTCCTTGGATTTTCTCCCTCTCTTATATTCTATATATGTTTTTTTAATGAAAATAAGGAAAATGTCCCCCCTTGAATTTTCTTATTCTTTATAAAATTCTATACATGTTTCATATTTTTTTTCTTCTAAATTGTTTCTTTAATACATATATTCTATATCTATAAATTAATTTAATTTCAAAAATATCACTATCTCTTTCTATATATATATATATATTTATATACAAATACATTATATTGTAAATATATGGAGGTTATGCAATACTTATGATGTGCCCCTTAAAAAATTTTCTAGTTTCGTCACTGCTGAAATCATGTGATGCGAAGGTTGAATGTGAAAAGAACTTGTGGGTGAGGGACTGATGGTTTTGTCTCAATCATGGTTTGTTACAGTTAGTCGCGACAAATGGTTATTTGGTGAGGGAGGTGACCTTTGTCTTTGTGGTCCATTGATTGTTTAGTTAATGCATGTGAAATGTGTTCTTTTGTTCTAATTATTGACTTTTTGTTATGGTTTTGTGGAGTACAAAAAATTTTTAGGATGGTTTAATTATATGAAAATTTCAATTTTTTGATCAGTTTTAATTTTTTTATTAGTTTTGAACTCTATAAAAGATAATTTATTGTACGAAAAATTATTTGGGGCTATGTATAGTGTTGTATGATTGATTAATTTGTGTCACCATAAGAGAAAGTAATTGAGAGATTGAAAGAAAATTATTCATTGTAATTCTTCATCTTTTATGTAGTAAAATTTGTTCGATGCGCTCCATGAACGTAGTCTTAAGATTTGGGTGAACCATGTATATCTTGTGTTCTTGTGTGTGATTGATTTTTTTTAGTCTTCGTAATTGTTTGTGTTTATTACTCAAACAACATTGTTATTTACATTTCTGTCACAATAACTGATATCAAAAGATCAAAAGATCCGTTTAATTGTGCAGAGCAACTCAATACTTTTTTGAGTCATTTAATAATAAATTTACAATATGAGTGTAAGGGCAATTTCTCCACAAAAGATTACACAGTAAAGTTGTGAGCACATTTTAAAGAAAAATAATACACGCACTAATTTGTTTAGCCGATCCTTTATGTAGGGGCGGAGGGAAGGGGGAGCTATTGGGGCCATGGCCCCACTAATTTTTTTGGAATTTTTATTTATTTATTATTATTATAAGTAAAAATAAAATAGTATAGTATATATGGTATAAAATCTATAATTGGTCCCCCCTAAGAAAAAAAAATTTTCTTTCTTTAATCAGCATTTAACAAAAGATAGTTTATATATAATTAAAAAGAAAGTGATTTAATTAATAACTATAAAACCCCGATAAAAATTGATTCACATAAAAATTTAATGTGACTATCTTCAAATTTCAATTCAAATACCGTTCTTTCCATAATGTGACTATTTTAAAACCTTCCAACTTAAGCACGATTCTTTCCATCACTTTGTTTTTCTTTATATATGTTTTTATTGAAATGCTTTTATAAGAAATTAATTTTTACAAAATTTAGAACAAAATTTTCATTTGAAATTTTGAATATCAATAAAAATCGATGATTTAAGAATCTAAATTCTTATTTTATTAATTTTTATTTTTATTTTTTATTTTTATAATTATTATTTTTTATCATTGTTATTGTTTTGTTAAATTTTCAATTGTTATTATTATTTTTTTTTTTAAGTTATTTTTATTTTTTTCTTTTCGGTAAATAAAGAGAGTTATTTAATTGAATTTTTTTTTATAATTTTGGTATAAATCTTATTTGTGTTTGTTCAAAAAGTTTGATAAAAAATTTCATTAAATAACTAGTTTTTTATTTATTTAAATAAATTGGAAAAAGTATATAGATAGATATATTTTTGTATGAATATAATTAATAAATTGTAAAATATTTTTGCCTACGTAATAGATATATACAAACCCCCCCCCCCCCCCCCCCCCCCCCCCCCCCCCCCCATCTGGAGATCCTGGCTTCGCCCCTTACCTCTATGTGACCGTCCAAGTGAAAAACGGACTTTTTAATTTTTAATACATATATATAATAATATTTTAATACTTTTTAATATATATATATATATATATATATATATATATATATATATATTTCATTAACGATTATATTCTACCGACTATATTTCAAATTTCTATATTTTTCATCATGTGTATTTTCTTTTTTCGAAACAAAAAAATGATTAAATTATTTGTTGTACTATTTCTCAACGGCAATATTCTTCAACAACTTTCAAAAAAAAAAAAATTATTGTTCAACTAAACAGATATATTTGTAAATAATTTAATTTAGTAAATTATTATTTTTTTTAAAAAAGAAATTAAATAATAAAATATTCATTATAGGTTGATGAATTGAGGTTAAAAAAATAAAAATTAACTTTTTGAGGCAATAGACCAAACATTGTCTTAATGGCAATATTTTCAGTGTTTTCATATATGTGTGTGTGTGTGTGTTTGTGAGAGAGACAATTAAAGTTTATATAAGGTACAATGCACAGGAAAACATTGGCCATTAAGAATTACAAAAAAAAGACCCATTGGTAAAAGCCCAACCCACCAAACAAGGATCGAATTAATCTAATCAACGACCTACTAAGCGTGTGTTTGATTTATAACTATAAAAACAGTTTTTGTTTTTTGAAAATTATATAAAAAAATTCTATTTGGTTCAGCTTTTTAAAAAACTACGTTATATAAAATATTTGTTTTCAGATAATTGTTTATTTATAATTATCTTAAAACAATTTTTTGTTGTTTGAATTATTGAGCGCTATTTTTAAAGTTAAAAACTCGGTCCTAAAATTTTTCAAAGTGCTTTATATTTTTTTTTTTGGTAACCATGAACCATTTAATAATTTATATGGGTGGGTGTGAACGTGCATCAAAATTCAAAAGCTTTCAATTTAGGCACCAATGGCTTCCCATTTGTCACGTGATGTTTATACCATCTATTCAGTGGAGGAATATGAGGTTGTATGCAAAGAAGAATGATGGGGGGCAACATACATGCTCTATAAATAGCCAAAGGTCTGTCAGCTTAAACCCACTCCAAACAAGGCCATGGCTTCTCTTAATTCCCTTCCAACAACAGCCTACTCCTCCTTCACCATCACAACCTTCCCCTTGTCATCTTGCCCATTCTTTAGCAAGAAGTCGCAAATCTCAATCAAAAAAGATCATGGTAACCCTAAACTGTCTTGCAAAGCCATAAATGGTGACCAAAACCCTAATAGTACTAGCTCCAAAAACAGCACTGAAACTTCTCTAGGGAAGCTTGATAGGAGGAATGTGCTTGTAGGGTTAGGAGGGCTCTATGGTGCCTCGTCTCTCTGTCCTCATGGTCCCCTAGCATACGCCAATCCTCCAGTGTTAGCACCGGACATATCAACATGTAACAACAACAATTTGCCTGTATATGTAAGACCGCGGCCCCCAATTTGCTGCCCGCCATCTACCACAAAAATCATTGATTTCCAGCTTCCACCGCAGTCTGATCAGTTGCGCGTTAGGCCGGCCGCTCATTTGGCCAACGAGGAATACATATCCAAGTATTCCGAGGCCATTAAACGCATGAACGAGCTTGATAAACACGACCCACGTAATTTCATGCAACAAGCTAACGTTCATTGTGCTTATTGTGAGCATGCTTACCGACAAGTTGGCTTTCCAGAACTTGAGTTTCAAGTACATCAGTCATCGCTCTTCTTTCCTTTTCATAGATGGTACCTCTACTTCTATGAAAAAATATTGGGAAAATTGATCGATGACCCCACTTTCGCTTTGCCATTTTGGAATTATGATGCTCCCCCTGGCATGCAATTGCCTGCAATGTATGCTGACTCTAAATCACCACTCTATGATAAGCTCCGTGACAAAAAACACCAGCCACCAACCATTATTGATCTTTATTATGACGGCAAGACTGATAAACCAACAAGCGATGAAAAAAAGGTGTCCAACAATCTAATCATCATGTACCGTCAAATGGTGTATGCCGATACCGCTCGGCTTTTTCTCGGCGGCGGTTACCCTGCCGGCCATGCTCCTGAAAAAAGATCTGGCTCGGTCGAGCTAGTGCCTCACAATATAGTGCACGATTGGACCGGTGACCGGATGCAGCCTAAAGGAGAGGACATGGGGGTCTTCTACTCGGCCGGAAGAGACCCTATATTCTTTGCTCATCACTCAAATGTTGACCGACTCTGGACAATATGGAAAACCCTAGATGGAAGACGTAAAGATTACTCCGATCCGGATTGGTTAAACACTGAGTTTTTCTTCTACAATGAAAATAAGCAGCTTGTTCGTGTGAAGGTTCAAGATTGTCTGGACGCCAAGAAGCTCGGGTATGATTACCAACCCGTGGACATTCCATGGAAGAACGCTCGGCCAACGCCTAAGGCTGAGAACGCTACCAAAAAGAAGAACAAAGCTAGTGGCTTACAAATGAGATCAGCACCTAATACGGCCCAGACATCTAGTGTTAGGGCTACTAGTGCTAGTGATGTTTTTCCGACTACTCTAAATAGAGTGGTAAGGGTTTCGGTTCCAAGGCCGAAAAAGTCGAGGAGCAAGAAAGAGAAAGAAGAAGAGAAGGAGGTGTTGGTGATAGAAGGAATAGAGTTGGAGAGAGACGAGTTTGTGAAGTTTGATGTTTATATTAACGACGAAGATGAGACGCCGAGCGGACCCAACAAGTCGGAGTTTGCCGGGAGTTTTGTGAACGTGCCGATGGGTATGGGTTCCATGAAGACAAAGGCTTCCTTGAGTCTTGGGATAAATGAGTTGCTGGAGGATGTGGGTGCTGAAGATGATGATAACTTGTTGGTGACTTTGGTGCCCAGGGCTGGAACAGATCTAGTTACCATTGGTGGTATCAAGATTGAGTTTGATTCTTCTTGAATGATGGAATTGAATTAACATTAAGTCTATTACTAGTAATATTTCATAATAAAATAAATAAATTTTACTTCTTAAATAGCATTGATTGGATTTTGATGCAGATAATATATATATAATAATTAGGTTAAAGAACTTTAAAATTCATTTATAATTTTATTGACTATATTTATTATTTTATTCTATTCTATTTATTTATTTTTTTCATTGGCTAGAAACTTATATACACTCACTTTAATTTTTTGGACATACAAACTCTTACCATTTATTTTAAAAAGTAGAAGAAATACCACGGGACAAAACTCTTGGTATTATTCTACTCCATGAGTTTTCATATTTTGAAAGCATAGCTTTAATATCTATACTACTAAGTATATATTTTTCAATACTTACCATCAAACTGTTACTCACCATGGATCTCCGATCAGATTGCGAAATCAAATTTTCACATTATTCAAAAAAATACCCTAGGCTATCTACCTACCATAGCAATTGGAACTGGTACGGTACCAGCTTATCTAAGCATCCACATTGTAAGTTTTAAATTGATCATCAAATTAATTTCACAATAACAAATAGAAGAAATTTTTTTTTTTCTCATATTGAATTAAATGAATTAATTTTTGCTTCACAAAAGGAAGAATGAAGCACCCACCACAATTACTTAACCAAAATAATTTTTTAACATTTAAAATTGCATATCTATAATGACATAAAATAACTCAAAACACGGGCATTACCAAAAAACAGAAAGCATCAACGTGCTAATTTCAATGAGGGCATATTTTAAATTTTACAAATATATATATATATATATATATATATATATAGAGAGAGAGAGAGAGAGAGAGAGAGAGAGAGACGAATGTGATACCACCAAAATAAATAAGTAAAATAATGGAGTCTGTTGCAATGTGATGGGATGAAGAGATGAGAGAGAAGGGTCCGCTTGAAAGAGGGAGAGTTAAATAACCGTACATGAAAAAATATTAGTGTGAAAGAGATAGTCAGATAATGTAAAATTACATTCTTATCTTCGATCTGTTCCATGGCGTGTGGTTAGGAAAGGTACCTTTTGAGTTTTGAATATAAGCCCTTGTCTCTAAGCTTCATATGTTTTTATTTTTAAAGGTAAATGTGTTTATTTGTCTCTGTCATTTGGGTTGTTGAATTGTCTTCTTAAGAAGAAATAACACAACAGAATTGAAAGATTTTGACTAGAGATGATAGTGGCAGTGGAGAGGTGGGGAGGTTAAAGAGATGGAGAAGAGAGAGAATTTTAGAAGAATATTGGGAAAAAAATTAGAGAGAGAAAAAGTTATGATATGAAAATTGATGAAGATAAAGAATAAAACCAGAGAGAGAAGCCACAAAATTTGTGAGCGAGACTGGAGTACACAAAGAGCTCCGGACATGCAGAAGAAGAGATCCGGTGAAATATATTATGTGCGAATTATGTTGGAAATAGTGAGCTTGCATACGCACACAACATTCAATATAATATTTTGAAGAAAATAAAATGAAAGAAATACTTTTATTTCACTTGATTAAAAATGAGGATAATATATAAGATTATATAAGCTTCAAAACACATATATAATAACCACATATAAATGAAAACTAACACTTACATAATATTTAGCAGCTATAACTCACACTAACATGATTATTACTAGTCATAATTATCAGGATCAGGATCCTCTCCAGTTGTACAGTGTCATGTGTTCTCCATTGGAGTAAATGAACAAGGAAGGTAAAAATCTATATTAATTTTATATACAATTTTTGCATATATAAAATTGATTAAATTATCTAGATATGAGAGCCATATCATCATCAAAATTATCATTAACAATGCTATCAACATGTGTTGACTTTCAAGCAAGATTGTTTTCTTTCTAATTTTGACTAAAATTTTGCATCTCGAAAATTTTCAATGAGCCTACAGCCTTATCTACTTTAACACTAGACAAATCACAACGTTCAGTGATAGTTTCAACCCTTATATGAAATCTTTTAGGTAAAGACCTCAAGATTTACTCAAAAATTTTCTTATCAGTAACTCTTTTGCCTAAGTGACAGAGTTCAGAAATAATTTAAAAAAAAAACTAGAATAAAATCAAAAAAAAAAAAATCATCTTCTTTCATCACAATATTTCCAAAATTATAAGAAAACATTTGAATTTTGGACATGCAGCTTCACTTTCGAAGTCCCTTCACGAGTAACGTGCAAAATATTTCAAGCATCTTTAACAGGTTTTACAATCAGAAATTATATCATATTTAGATGGAACAACGGAATTAATAATTCCATATAAAGCCTTTCTATTAGTATTAGTACGATCAGTTTCAAGTACAGTGAATGAAAAAATATCTTTTAAAACCTAAACAACCTTACCATCCATAATTTTTTCCTTAGTAGGAGGCCATGGTATGTAACCTGTCTCAATAATAGCCCAGACTTTAACTCCTAAATTTTGCAACTAGGTTCTCACATTTGATTTCCAAAAATTATAATTGTTTCCTTTGAATAAAGGACCATGTTGATTAAATCCACCCTCTTTTAAAGTATAAGACATGATGAAAATATTTTTGAAAAACAATCAAAAACTTTTCACTATGATCAAATCAATGTGTAGAAATTGACTCTGATACCGATTTTGAGTTTATGCAACAAAAGATATTATGGAATGTTTAAGTCTTTTTTTTTTTTTTTTAAATTTTAGAAAAGATTAAATTATCGTCTTTCTATTTTAATTACCTTTACTTAATTTAGCAAATAATTAAACAATCACATGCAAAATAAAAGCAAGAAAGTAAATAGAGTTTGAAAGATGACACCAGGATTTTTAGCGAGGAAACCCTAATTGATTGAATAGACCAATTGTTGTAAGAAAAATCTCTTGAACTGTGTAATCCAGAGCAAAACGATCCACTATATTTGAAACAAAGTATAATGGACTTTGACTCAGGCTCATACCCTATCGTTTTACCAAAAATCAATTGCTGACAAACATCTGGCTTTGCAATGTCCTGTCCAACAGCTCTTGACTCCAGGCTTATTCTTGATCGCTGTAGAATGATTGCCGGTAGATCAAAAAATACTCCTCGAATACTTTGACCCTTCCAAAGTGTAATCGTTCACCCTTTTTTTTTTAAGATCTGAAATTGATGCAGAAGAAATAGATCTGCTTCTATAATCGTTGTCGATGCAATATTAATGAACTTTGAACACGATCAGGAATTAAACAACACCCTAAAATCACTCTTGTGTTTATGTGCGTGTTCAAGAAATAAAAACAGAAAAATCGAATTTGATTTTATGCAGAATATTTCTCAAATAGGCTTTTAAAAAAACAGAAGTTTTAATGCAAAAGCCGTATCAACCAAGATGAAAAATAAGGTTTATACAGGTTTTCAAAGACCTAGATATGCATAGGAAAGAAGTAAATTTTGTGCATAAGTCTTTTGAAAAGAAATCCAAACCAGATAGGAAGTTTAGATAGAACAAAAAATTTATACCTAATCTACAGAAGCATTCTGAACCGGTAGCCACTTTTTTAACCGGTTCAGAGCGTCCAGAAGTATTTACGAATTTGAATCTAAGGTCATTGAACTGGTAGGAAAAGTTGGTAACGGTTCCCAAATGACAGATTCGAATGGGAAGGACAAAACACTTAGAATTTTATGTTTTGAAATTTTTGAAACAAACAATGTATGTAAAGTGTCCTAACCTTTCACTCAATTTCTTAAAGTGTTGTTCATACCTTTTTTGTAGATCTTAGTTTATCAGATACGAACAACTCTTCAATTCCGCAACCGATCTTGATCTTGAATTTGAAATTTAAAAATACAACTGGATCGGAATTGTTTAGACACAAAAATGAGGCAATTACAAAATATATATCTCACAAATTTGTCATACCACCTTATATGCAAAAAAAAAAAAAAATGACATTTAAACCGAATTTCTGATTGTAGAAGAACAAACCGAAGACTTTTACAGCTTTGGTTAGATGAAAGTGGGATCTAAAGCTGGAAAAGCTTTAGATTAGTGAGAGGTTCAAAGTTTCAGTCTGAACATCTGTCCTTCAATTAGCTACAAGTAATTTTTTTGGGCACAAAACTAGCCCTCAAATAATAGAGTGGGTTACTTAACTAAATGACCCTTAACGAGAAGGGAGAATTACTAAAATACTCATTTTGGTGGATATACTAAAAGTGACATGTTCGGTAGTTGCACCCCGTTTTTGTAATTTGCTTTAGATTAGTAATTTGTGTTTGGCTCACAAAGTGGTCTGAGGTCGCTAGCCAATGAATGGTTGACCTAGAACGCGGGCGTGCTAGAATCCTGATGGACTCGAATATTTCTTACCAAACTATACCTACCAGGTCGGGTCGCCGACCTAATATGATTCGGGCGAAAGTTGGAGAGTAGGAATGACCCTCTCCTTAAGGTTGTTATTGCCTTTAAGAAATGACTTTAAATATTCAGGATAGATATCAATTAGAAACAAATTAATTGAACAATAAATATACCTGAATCTGCAAACCTTTCTTCATTGAACTTGACTGATTACAATGATGAATGAATTACAAACTCTTGATTGAAGTGGAAACTAAAGTATTGAATGCTGAAAAATGAACTAAGTACTAAACTGATAGTGATAAAACTGAACTTGAACAAATAAAAACTAAGTGCTAAGTGATATGAATGCTAAAGGTTGAACTTTAGAAATGGTCTTAGACCTCTTCCTTGTAAGTCTTGAGTAGGTATTTATAGAAGTCTCCATCTGGTGTTGTCCCTTTCAAACCGTTTCTCTAGAAATTAATTGGTTGTAAGCTGAAAATGACTTCTCCTAACCATCTTGCTGAGCTGGTCAGGTTGATTGACTTGCATATCTCTCTATGGGCAGATACAAATGTGTCTGACATAGTATTTTTGACTAAATGGTGCATATTTTTTCATGCTTGATGATTTTGGTCTTCAAGCCATTTTCAACTCTATGCACCTGTCATGCTTGGCTTGATCTATACACTGGCTTGACATCATCTGATTACTGACAATTCTGACTTTTT